TCATATAGTAAATAGTTAATAATGTTATATTATGCTAGCTTGAATATACTTTGACCTAAAGAATTAGTCAATAGTAAGAAACAAATAAGAAATCAGTCGGTTCAATCTGACTAATGCATGTCTAGCGAGGTCTCGGTCACTTGTGACTGCTTGATAACCAAAACTAGACCAACCAAAAGCTAACAGATTTGACCTTAACCCAGTCAGACGAAGTGAGTCGATTAGACTCATAATCTTCAAAAATAACTTATAATAAACCAAGACATCACTTTCTAATTCTGGTGAGATGCAACTTAGGCTTGATGGTACCTTGATAATTTTGAGTGTTACATCTAAACAAACGAATACATAAGGAGTTCATAATGTGAACTCGTGATTAAAATTTATTGACAGTGACAATCCAACCTAAAACTTCTGCATTAAGAGCATGTACGCTATTGAGTGTGAATGTGACTCCATGGTGCTTAAATAAAAAGGCCGGTATGTGCAAAAGTGCAAGTCCATTTCCTACCACTTTCTTGGACCATTTGATAAAGACCACTAACTCTAATTTCTGATTATTCTCTTCTAATCATCATTGTTTAGTGAAAATTAATATGTACGGATTAGAAGTTTTGAAAATGATCTTTTTGTCATATATGAAGAAGTTTCAGAATTCGTCCTTATTTTGTTAGCTGATCAGTTTATACACATGTAGTATCCATGTTTTGTATTCTACAAACGCTAACTGTATTTTATGGAAAAAGACGATGTGTACTAGTTCTAAGCATTATTTACAAAAAAAAAATGCTATAGTTTTGAGTTTTCAAGTATAAAAGACCATTATTTTCTTTTTAATCTTGACAAAAGGAATTCATAACCTCCAAGAGTCCAATAGGACAATAATGTAACTCTTTAATTTTTACCCCCTCATAAACTAGTTAGAACTAATAAGTGATATTGAATATATTCCTTCATTATATATAAAGAGAAATTGATAATATTTTTAAATGCACATAAAACTAACACGTGCCATATCAAAAAATGGACAAGTTGACACCTTATCCTATTAGAACCATATGGACACGTAATCTTATATTTACCTAAATTAAGTCTTTATTAAATTAAATCCATAATTAGCAAACTCTAATTATAATCAAATATTTGGCAATTCTAATCAAACAATAATTATCCATAATTAAAAATCTAATAATCATATTTTTAAGTCTATTTTTCTTTATAAATAAAAAAGGATTAGTGGTTTAATATTAGCCTTACATCTTACAAAATTGTTTTGTCTCCATCCTTAAATTTTTTCAAGGCTAAGTTTTACTAAACTGCCAACAAGTTTGGGTGTTTTAGTACTAAACCCATAATTTTTTTCAAATTCTCACTAAGCACGCTATAAAAATCCTTTATTTACATATAAAAAAGAGATATTATTGGTTTACTATTAATCTTGCATATAAAAAAATTGTCATGTGGCCCTTCCTACTTTTTAAAAAGTTAAATTTTACTAAACTCCCAATAAGTTCGGTTGTTTGGCACTAATCTCTAAAATTTTTGAAACTGCAAATAAGTTTCAAAATGTCAGAAAACCTTCAAAATATATTGATAGTATGTGGTTAACCCACATAAATGTTTTACCATATAATTTTACAGGGACGAAAATTATCCCTCAAACCTAATGTGTATTTCTCAAATTATTCCTATTTGCATATCAACCCATAAAATTAGAAATAATCCTTGAAAAATAAAAAAATACAAATATCCTTCTTAAAATATGAAATTACAAACAACCACTAAAAATTTAAAAAATACAAACAACCCTCTTTAAATTCAAAAAATTATGGACAACTCCCTATAATATCCACAAACTTCAAACAGATCCCTAAAAAATATGAAAAATACAAACAATACAAGGTATTTGGGGTTTGTATGAAGCACTTTAATTTCTTTTTTTATTTTAGAGTACTACAAAAAAGGATATTATAAAAATGGGATTGGTCGTCCAACCCATCTGATTCAAATTTTAAAGGTTGAATAAATGTCATCTATGCCCTTATTTTGTATCTTATAAAAAAAAGATCCAACTCAAATTATCTAATTTTGAAGTATTAGTCCAAAGAAATTTTTTAGTACAACACAAAATTTAAAAGCAAGACCATAACCAAAAAAACGAACAAGTTTTGTTAGAAAACACCAGTAAGTTATTATTGCTGTTATTAACCCCCAAAAACTTTTGACAGAAGCTCCCCAAAAACTATTATTTACAATTTTTTATTTTTGCAGGGAGCTATTTGTAATATTCAAACTTTTCGAGTGGGTTTTTGTGATTTTAAAACTTTTGAGGTCGGCTTACTATTTTTAGATTTTTTAGAGGATAATTTTATATTTTCAGGGGGTTGTTGGTAATTTTTAAGTAGTCAAGGGTATTTTTTGTATTTTTGTATATTTTTTCTACATGGGTTGGTGTGGTTTCTTTTGTTTGTATATTAGATTTTTTTTTTGTTCTCTATGAGTTTCGTTTTTGGTATTTTTGTCATTTGCCCATACATTAACTAACGTTGTTAATTTGAGAGTTTTATGCTAAAATTTTAAATATATTATCAGAGTTTCAAAGGTATTTGGGGTTAGTGTGAAACACTTTTCTAAAAAAAAAGATATTAAAAAAAGGCTGAATCAAATTTTAAAGTTTGAATAAAAGTCATATATGCTCTTATATTGTATCTCTCTATAAAAAAAAAAACCGGCTCAAATTATCTAATTTTGAAAGAGAGAAAGTTTTTAGCGCAATTCAAAATTTAGAAGCAATACCATAACAAAAAACGAAACTCACAGAGAAAAAAAAAATCAAACCAATCCGCACGAGGACATGCATAACGCTTGTAAACTAATTAGAACTAATAAGCGATATAGAGCATATATACTTTGAGATTTATCAGTAATTGCTTAATTTTTTTTCTTATTCACAATGGGATTTGATAAAGCGCCTGAATACACAAAAACTGTCACGTTTTGAGAAATGGATAAAAGCTCCCCCAATGATTGCAAGAACAACTGAAACGTCTGTTTAAGCCGCAATTATCTTGTCTATCACCATCTTTTCTCTCTCCTAAACCTATCCTACACCTGCGGACGCACATCATAACAGGCCTACGCAAATTCTAGCCGTTGATCTGCAGGCCCTATCCTGCTACGGCGGCGCATCATAACCCTTGTTGAGAGCTATGAATGATGTTGATGCTCGCCGTTAAATGCCGCCCCAACTCCGCCACGTGGCGTGAACTCCGTGAAGGGGTGATCCCCTCACGTCGCCGTACCCTGCTGTTGACGGCATGGAATGATTAGCCATCATGCCCATCGCATGTACGGTCATCTCCATGGCACCAGTTTTTCATTTTACCGTCCAAACAAATTAACTATTTACAAAAAATTTCACATTTTCATGGGTAAATAATTAAATATTCTCTTATCACTTTTTTGTAAAAGAAAAGCTCATAAATATTTAATATGTCTAAATAAATAAGAAGTTAACTTTAAAAAGAACCGCCAATGACAAGCTAAAGGGTGTATGAGAAAGTTAATAACTCTTTTTTTTTGTCGTAATAGCTTTTAAGCTAAATTTTAAATCTCATCTTAAAAAAGGCTTAAGAAACCCAACTTTTAATAACATTATTTGTTTTATTTATTCATTATGAACACACATGATTTTGTTTAATACATATTTTATATTTTAATTGAGTCAAATTAGATTAATCAGAGTAAAGCCTAATCTTTACCCAACCTATTTATTAATCAAGTCATAAGACTTCTTAATCCCCTGTCACGAGTCAACCCGTTTCTGTATGATGGTGTTAGGTTGACTGATTATACTAAGCAAAATATCAACTTAAAAGTGTTAGACGCATATATAGTTTAATTTATAAATCACCGCAAAATTTGTAACTCCTCACTAGATGAGTTTTCTCAGAGAAAAGTGACAAGGACACTTGGATGAAACTTTACGGAAATTCAACCTTTTAATAGACGCATGATTATGTTCATACATACATGGGGGCATCATTAATCAGGAAAGACTGCGCGCAGCCACGCAGCCGCCATTTTTTGCACTCCTACCACCATATAAATCCATTAACCCTACAACTTTCCCAATTATTATTACATGCCCTACTAACTTTCCATACGATCATATCTACCTACCTGTCGTATTTAAAGAAAAAGACATAAAGACATATAAACCCATAAAGAGAGAGAGAGAGAGAGAGAGAGAGAGAAGGGAGAAGAGAGAGAATAAAGAGCCATGATTCTAGACAGAGAAAGGGAGAGGTCCCTCTTCCGGGGCCCACCCACTCTCATATCCTCAACTATAAATACCCCCTCCTCCTTCCATCTCCCTTCTCCCTCAATGATCACCAAACCCACCCAAATTTAGCTCGTCATATAATATATATATATATATATCCTCACTCTTCTTCTCTAGCTCTTTTTAGGCCACACCAGATATCTCCTCAGTATCTTGCTCCTCTGATGTTTCTCCCCCCTCGCCTTCGATATTTTCCAATAGCCCTTCACCTGTCATCTGCTTGATCCTTCTTCACGTGCTTCTTTATTGCATGCTGCCATTTTTCGCTTG